CTAATATTTTTTTATTGCAGTTGTGAAACGGATTATTGGTCAATCGACTATTGTACCTAGAACAAAGTTTTCCTTTCTCTTAAGTGGCAATCAGTGGCCGAATGGATAAAACCCTCAACACTGGTAGTTAGTCGCGGGTTCGCACCTCAGCAAGTGACTGGATGCTTAGAGATTTCCGAATTTTCTTCGCGCCTAAATAAGGAACAGTTTCCGATAAAAGTCCTCACGGAAATCACCTCCCCCTCGACATATCGCAAAAATGAAATGTTGCCTTATCTTAAACCATCAGTTCAATCCAATCTTCTTACTGTCCTACGAGCAGTAAAGTCTTTTTTCCATACGCCCATCGTGGGTCGCGGGTTCAAGCTTCATCAGATTGGAGTTTTCCGGATTTCTTCACGTGTCTAACTCCTAAATAGGGGCCAGTTTCCCATAGAAAGTCCTCCCGGGAAGCATCCCCCAAGGAAAATTCCTCAATTAAAACCAAACCCGTACACTTAAATAAAGAATATATAGTCTATATTGACGGTCGGATGGACGAGTCGATTAATGTTTCGAGGCCCAGGAATTTTTTCATGGGCGTTCAATAGCGTATATGCTGAGCCACGTACCTCGCCATCCCATTGTGGGTCTTGCCGAACCCACGATAGAATTGTGTAGGATTGATGGAATAAAGCATCTCAACTCTTGAGGAGATTTGCTAAGGGGATGTCTCCCGAAAGGCCTTTCTATAGAAAACGTATCCTATTTAGGTGTAAGTTTTCGAATATTTAGTGCTCACAGGGACAATATATATAAAATTTAGTAACGCTTACATTAATGAATGTAAGATAATTAAATTCCGTTTAAATTCTTCCCTAATTAATTAATTTTTCACATGCAGCAGCTCTTTAATTTTGATATATGAAATTATTTAATAATTTCGAATAAAATAATTTTAAAATTATTCTGTTATAAGTGATTAATTTTTAATTAAAAATTTAATCTAAAATCTGTGAAATTTGAAAAATATTTATAAATTTTAATTAATTTCTTGTAATTTTATACTAAGATTCTTTTATATTATGTGAAAATTACAGACACAAATTGCACATAAAAGTAAAAAATAATATAATTTTTTTTATTCTAGATTTTTAATTTCGATCTGTTTAATTATATTTTCCAGTTTTAATAAAATTTCAAATATTTATACAGACAAATCTCTAAACAACTGCCATTGAGGAACATTAAAAAATGACCGTCATTCGGAAGTTATTTTGTATGAATTTTTATTTAGAAAAAAAAATCTGTTTTTAAAAATAGCCTCTGTTTAGTGGTGGTCGTCGTTGGGAGGTGGCCGCTATTGAAGGTTCAACTGTATCTAGGTCAAACTGGATGATTTTATGAGAAGAGACTGCAGAATTTCTAATGCAATTTTCTTTTATTTATGTGTTTCATTCGCTTAAACGTTTGATAAATCCAACTTAGAATCCCTTTTGATCTAGTTTTAAATGAATTCCGATATTGTATGGTACCATTTCCATTTTATAACCCCGATTTACACTTTTAGAACCAAGTTACGATACTTTTTTATTGTCGATTCCTTTGACTATAACTCCAGAATCCTGAAAATTTGAGGTACTGCAAGCTACTTACTCACTACTAATTTGTTTCTTCTTACTCCTTCTTATCTCTACTTGATCATTATTCTAATTTAGTTTTCCTAAGTTAGGTTATTATTTTCTACACTTTAATTACTTTTATAGTGTGAATTTATGCCATAATAAATTGAAGAAATTCGAATAATTTCATTAAATCGCGCACAACTTAAGTTACTTAAGTACATAATCGCATGATTAGCATAATTAAAATTGTAAATAAGCAGCGAACAAGAATGGAGTTTCAATTAGAAAAATTATAACATAATTCGAAATTTCTAGTTTTAAATTTAATTGAATTAAATTTAATTATTTCGTATCAAAATGGGTACATTTTTTATTCAATTTTTTTCTTAATCGAAGTCAAGGTAGAGGGTGCAAACTGGAGAAATTTGTATTAATAAAATAAATTAAAATCTAGAAAAAATATAAAGAAGAAAAATGCTACTTTTAAAATAAAATTGATAAAAAAATTAAATTTAAATCTAAATTTTTCGTCTCTTTTCACCGATAACATTATCTTCATCATCTTATTTACTATAATAATTCCATTCAAAAATTTGCACTGTAATTGCAATTTTCTATCTCGAATTACAAAAAAGGAAAAAAATGTTATTTCTCAGTTTCTAAATACTTTAAATCCTTTAAAATGAAATTAATTACAAATCGAGATGCTTGGAATAGTTTCTAGTCTTGTAAGTTTTACCTTGACAATTGATTCGAGGGGTTTTCTACAGTATCAATTCTTCTTCTTGTTACTATAGTAACAACATCTTTACCTGCCAAACAGATGTTATTGTTGCTAGACTCCATTAACGAGGTGGTAAGAAGGATCCGACCTCATTAAAAATGCTCCTATCTCTATACTTTCCATCACTATTAATTACATCCGCTCTATCATAACAAATGAATTCGTTCTCTTGTTTATAAATAAAAATAAATATAATATAATAATAGTAAATATGGGAAAATATTTTTTTTATAATTCGCAAAATTTTCTCTCTCTTTTTTTTTTCATTTGTGAGGAGAAAAGATGCTGACTGAGAAGAGATGCCAAATATTTGGGTTACACTAAAACATTTTTTAATGTGTGGTTAAAAATGTTCTTATTTCGTGAGTGGAGAAATATTACAGCCAGAAACTTAAAAATAAAATTGTTTACACTCTTAAAATATTTCTTATTTTGACAATCTCTTCAGGGCTCGATATAAGATAAACAAATTATAGCTTAGGGCCTCACTCTATGGCTTAAGGCCTCTGTGGATTAGGATCTCATTTTATTGCTTAAGGCCTCATTTTACTGCTTAGGACATCACACTATGGCTTAGGGCCGCACTCTTTGGTTTAGACTCTCATGCTTTTACATTTACTATTATTTAATAAAAGCCTTTCTTATCTTAAAGCCTCAACTAGTCTAAATTCGGTCTTACCTCATCGAGATTTCTCGAAACTTAAATAATACTATTTTTATGCATTTAAACACTTAAAAGTGTTCAAATGCCGCAAATCTACGTATAGAAAGTGAATATTAATTAATGCAAATTTTTAATATTTTTAAAAATGTATTTTCAAAAATATCTTAAAATTTAACAGCATTGCCATCTGGTGAGACAAAAATAATTTAAATCTCAATTTTCTTCCTAAATTTGTTTTAAAACAATTTTTATACAACAAAAACTTTTCTTATTAAAAATTTTAATTTTATAATTTTAATAAAATTTTAAAAGCATTTAAAAAATAAATATATATTTAAAAAGTCCAATTTATATTTTATCTAATATCATTGTTTTTATTTTTAAAATAAACAATTAATTTATATTCTACCACAGCATTCATTCGCGTTATCTATAATAGATATCTCGGTTTACCAAAGACCTAATACAATTAGTTTATATAGTCACATATAGAGCGCTCCGATAGAAGAAGAGCAAGATGAAAGATGGTTGATTGTAGGAGTCGGTTGCCAAGCAACGGGATTAAATGACAAGACTGGTCAATAATAAGTCGCAATACAGACAAATGTCAAGACGATAGAGAACGGGAGGATGGCAGGATGCCAATTGACATAACTTTAACGACGTCTGACCACCCCTCTACGAGAAAATACTGAATTTGATACGAACCAAATAGTAATCATATATATAAAAAAAGGGGGAAGAGGAAGAAGAACGGGCATAAAAAAGTACAAAAATACTTTCATTTCTGATAAAATATTATCCGATTGAATTGCTATACGTTCTTAAAATTGAATAATGACTGTAATTTCTTATCTTTACTTTTAACCTTAAAATTCTACACGATTTTCTCGATAATGGCGAAATTTAGATCGATTTTTAACGCTTAATAAGTTAAAAAAAACAAGAAGAAAACGTGTTTAAGATGCTTATAAACGTGAATAACAATCGATAGAAATTTAAATATATGCAATTTGAAGCGCGAAAGATTCCTAAATTTAATAAAATTTTCCTCATTATTTTAGCATCTTTCAATCAAATTTGGAATGGATTTTTCTTTCTTCTTTAAAAAATTCCTCTCGACAAATTTCATTATGCTTGTCTTCATAGTTAATTTGACAGGTTGATAAGTAGAACAGGAAATATCCAGTATTTAAATTATATTCTTTGTTGAATGCTCTTCTTTAATTTAAAATAGGGAGAGTGAGAAAGAGAGAAGAGGATAGATTGTTTCCTTTATATAAAATTTTTTCGAAAATATTTTATATATTTTTATATAGTAACAAAATGAAATTTAATGCTAAATTAAATTCTTTAATGGAAATTTATTGTGAAAAATGAATCCGAGAAGAAGAGAGTGGAAAAAAATATTTTTTTTTTCATAGTATCTTAGAAGAAAAATGAGGAATCATTGCGTGTCAAGAGGCTGAAACTTTTTATTTTCTCGTATCCTCTGTCTTGTCTCCGGTTGCTAAGACAACCGTTGAGAAATTCTGAGAGAAAAATCATTCAAATGTAGTATTTTTTTTTTTCTTATTAAAGATAAAATTTCTACAGGGAAAAATCTATCTTCCGCACGTCTAAAGAATCTATAATGCGCCCTTAACGCCTTTTCAATCGCATTTTCTACTTATTAAATGAGTATTATTTAGTTACAGAAGGTATAAATAAGTTCCTATGTGCCTTATGTGTAAACAGTACTCATGTTTTATTAAATACAAACATTATCAGTAAATAAATCGTATTTATTTCCCTTCTGATAGAATATTAAACGACAGAATTGTTTCTTGTCTGTGTTACTTTTAATATAATTAAATCGTATTATAATTAAGCTAAATATAATTAAATTTTATTGATCAAATTTAAAAAATCGATATTAAATTTTCCNAATATAATCTTTTGCACATAGAAAGAAACTGATATAAGTAATAAAAAAACTCAAGAATTTTCTGAAGAGTTGGAAAATACCATGTTTCATCTTCATCAGATCATAACTGCAACTGCTGAGCCTATTCAACAATGTTTGGTATCTCTTAGCTCATTTATTGGTAGTAAGTAATTATCAGATTTGATTTATTAATAATATTTATTTTCAGCCATCATTTATTCTTTTATATAAGATTTGGTTAAATATGCAAGATGAAATAACATATTTAAATATATTATCCACACTTGCAAATAATATATTCAGATGTGTAGAGGTTTGTGAAAATTCAAATCATATTTTATTCTTAAATATTTCTAACTTTTATATAAATTCACATAAACTTTTAATTTTTAGAATTCTCACAAATTAGTGAATGATGAAAAATTAGAATATCTAATTGAAAATTTTGAAAAAGTGCACGAAGTAAAAACATTTCCACAAACTGAAGATATATCTGATTCAATTTCTGCATCTAAAAATACTGTCATTTATTTTCCTGTATCTATTAGCAACTTTTCAAAAATGCAGTTACAGTTTGGTGTAAGTAAAATTGATATTGGTGTTGGCATTGGCATTTTAAATATGAATAAGTAATAATTAATAAAGAATTAAAATATCTTTTCTTTAAAAATTACACTTAAAATTTCTTATTCAGTTTATTTCTAAACTTAAATTAATATACAAAATTGCAAAAAATTTGATTATTTTTATTTGAATTTGATAATTTATACAATTTTGCTTTATACTATATGGAGTGTCCATGAATTATATAACTCAGATATGGGTAGGTGAGTATGCAGGTAATTGTCACAATGTGTTATAAGGAGGTTAGAGTGTTTACAAAAACATTATGTAATGGAAAGGTCTCAATCAGCAAGTAACAATGATTCATCTTCATTTTTGAAGTATTGTATAGTAAACTGTATTGTTTATGCATTGTTTAAACAAAGTATATTACATTAATTAATAAAATGATGTAACATTTGGTACCTTGTGCCATTTTTATTCCTTATCACAAAGGGATCAATCAAGGATATGCATCATATAATTTAGATGGTTGGGTATGTCTGATGGCATTATGGAGCTTTATAGGGGGTGGGATGGTAGTTGAAAAGTATAAAAATAGCATTATGTAATTTATGGACAATCCCTATGTATAATAGTGGAAGAAAAAGTATGAAAATTACTATTTTCTTTTTATTGGATGTCTTGTTTCTTTATTGTTATAAGAATTAATTATTATATATAGTGATTTCTATGCTTCTTTCATTACCTATCACCAGGAAAAGTTTTAGTTTGTAGTAAATTATATATATCAGTGTATGTGTGTAATATAACATGCAATTAGTACACTATACATATTCAGGGCTGGTTTTGGTCTGTTAGCCATCTGCATGCTACATATGTTTGGCTGCACCTATCAAGTCTCATTGCAAGTAAATTCATAACATAACCTAACCCAACCATTCAGAGCCTACTGGTATGTTTTAGGATAGTTTTATACAGTTGACANGGATGCAAGAATTCTTTCTTATATATGTATAATATTTTAAAAAAATTCAAAATTTTTATATAAATTTGTATAAATATAAAAAAAGTATTTTTAAAATATATATTTTGTCAAAATATCCGTCGGATAATGTAAATTGTAATGCCATAAACAAACGAAGACATTTACATTTTTCATATTAAATAACTTCAAAATTTCTTGACATAATTGAATGAATTAAGATAAAATGAATTGATCCGATGTGTATTTTATCATAATATATGTCATTATGTCATAATTAAGAAATGTTTTGTTTTACAATTTCGTACCATTCGTGTGGATAAAGGACATTCTTTATCTAACGTTGGAAATATAAGAAGACTCCAGATAAATTTTGATTAAAAAGGAAAATAATCGGATGGAAAAGTAAGGCGAATAATTAGAAGTTGCTGCAATGAATAAAATTTTATGGCTATGAGTAGCCTACATACTCTTTGCAAGGGGTACAACAATGACTGTGAAATTTTAAAAATACCTCAAACTTTTTCAAAACCAATCATCGTTTATATTTTACATAAATAATTACAAACCAACAGTAATAGGTCGTAAGATCGATGACGCAGTGCTCGATCTAATCTAAAACCAACCAATCATTATCTATCGTTACAAAATTCAAACGATAAAGGTCAGTTTATTTTAAAAAAAATAAAAGATCGGAAGAGATTGGAAAATTCAGCCAAGCGGCCTTTAGTCGCCAAACGTCGAAAGCAATGTATTGGGATTGTATTAATACGTTTTCTAACGACGACACGGGAGAAAATTAACTTTAAATGGAATAATAACCTGACTGTTGTTGTTGTACCTCTTCATGAACGCGATCTGCATAAGGGAGTGTATCCGGAAGGACTTTCTATGGGAAACTGACCCCTATTTAAATGTTAAACGCGCGAGGAAAACAAACTGGAAAACTCCATGCAGTCGGCCCGTTGTTGCGGTATGAATCCGCAACCGACTGTCAGTGTTCAGTGGTTTTATTCATTCGACCACTGGAGGGCATATCAATAACTGATTTACAATACAGTAAAATTTTCATTACATAACTCATTATTAAAGAATAAGCAAAGATGTTGAAGTTATAGCAGATGATTACTTACCATCAATCCTCTCTTGTATAGTTACATTTCTTTATAGTAGCCTATATAAAGAAATGTCCCCTATATAGGTATAAAGTACAGTATGTATTCTCTGTGATATAGTTATATTTCTGCTATATATGCACAGATTATATACATATATAGCAGAAACAGCAGGCAAAAGTAATTATTCATATTCATTCATCCATTTAACAGATTCTTCCAAACACTACATCACTTCTTATCTCTTTCACTCCTGCCACTTTCATCTCTTTCCTGATACTTTGTCACATCTCTCTTGTCTGTCACAAATCTTTTCCTCCTTCAAATGTTCATTCACTTGCTAGAACCAGCATTTTCTTGGTCGCTATTGTTTTGATCATTTACATCGCCAAATTATTGTAAAGAAGTCATCAGAAAACTATGGTGGATTTGATTTGGTTTTATGGTTTGCAGCAATGCGACACGCGAGCAATCTGCCAAAGGGAATGCCTCCTGGAAGGACTTTCTATGGTAAACTGGCTTCTATTTTGGTGTGAAAAAAAATTGACGTTAGTTAGGGCAGAACCCATAATGGTTTCGCTAAAAAAAACCCCTCTTAGTGCCCACAGGGCGGAAAGAGTTTTAAAAAAACAATGACTACGCGGCGGACCTTGCGTCGACTGGAATTCAATAGCCATCGACCTCCACGATTGCCTCTGTTGACCAGAGTCAGCGTAAACAATGCCTCGCATGGCGAGGGAAAGGCACATTGGACCATAGAATGTGTTAGAGGTCGTTTGGGAGAAAGATCACTTCCAAATTTTGATCAATCCCGTTTCATTCTGAACCTCACTGATGGTCTGGTCCAAATTTGGCGTAAACAGCGTGAAGGCTAAACTCATATTCCCTGGTTGCATAGTTGGGGGGTTTCACAAGCTGGTGGTGCGGTATCATGGTCTGGGAGCGTTCTCTTGGCGAGGCCATTGGTTGTCATCCCACGATCCTCGAATGGTGAATGATACAGGAACCTGTTAGGTGATCATCTGCACACACGTGCCTAGGCTAAGTTTTCTGAGAATGATAGTGAGTGAGCCTCGCGGTGACAGGGTGTATTATCATGTTTCAACATGAAAATGCATTCTGTCACCATGAGGCCCACTCGGGAATGGTTAGCAGAACAAGATAATGAATTCCACAAACTGCCTTCGCTCCCAAAGTCACCAGACTGCAACCCTACTGATCATGCTGGATGTGTGGTGAAGTTGTCACCTAATCCTTCGCGAAATGTACAACAACTGATAAATGCAGTTAAGAATAGATGTTCGTTATTTGATAAAGTCTATGCCTCGGCATTTGCAAGCCGTGATCGCTCAGAAAGGTGGCCAGCCTGTAATTAGGCAGGTGTTTCTAATGTTGTGATCATTCAGTGTATAGTGCCAGTGGAAATGTGTACGCGTCGTTTGCTTCAACTTAGGAATTTTATCCACACGCCTTGTTAGGTCGGTTGTTTCTGCTGTGAATTTCTTGTATATTCCATAACTGTGCCTTTATCGTCTACTCGACAGTCTGATGGACGCCAGTGGAAATTTATAGGTCTGCAATTCTGAAATATTGTAGCCCAATCAACTTCCTAAGCTAGAAGTGAAAGAAATTGAGAATCAGTGATACCAATAAATCTTCGTAAAAACATTTTCGAAGCCAATAAATGGAATATGCGGTTAAATAATCTTAAATAGGCTACACTCATATGCAGCACATGCACAATACTTTTTCGTTTTAAAGAGAGCAGGTGGCGACTGTGGTCACAAATTACTCCTGTGATATATAATATAAAAACTTTGTTAGAATTTATTTTTAAAAAAGTCTATAAATTAATCATTTACTAATTAAAGTTTAGTGCCATTTCAGACACCAAAAAATTTAATACGCAAAGTCTTCAAAGTTTATTAAATCAAGTTAAGAAATTGCCCAAGAAATAAAAATATACCGTAATAAATGAGAAATTTATAAAGTTTCTTTTTGATAAAAACAGTGTTGCACATCTTTTTTTTTACGTATTTCGATATAAGGACATTACGTGACATCAGTTGTATGTTAAATCTTTTAATTAAATTTTAAAATAAAAAGAATAAAATTATACGATTTATTATACATTATATATTATCAACGCTTGTAAAGCGGATTTAATATATCTGGATAAATAAGCCATTTAATTAAACGGACTATAACATTGGCATGTTATTGGTTGCTTATTCGGATGTATTAAAGCCGCTTTACCAGGTAACGCGCCAAATTTAATATGGTAGCAAGATGCGATGAATTCATTATTTAATTTTTTAATATTTAATTATTTAGAATACTTTTATTTTTTAAAATAAATTGTTAGTTTTTCTTGATTTACTTTGCTTCGAGGATTACAAATATTTATATACTATAATATATACTTTTGAAATAATGATAATGTGATAAAGCTCCTCTTTTAAATAATTTTTTAACTAACTTTTTTTAAAATTTTAATATAATGAATCTGAAGAATTAAATATAATATTAATTCATTCTTCAATATTAGAATTTCTTTTATCTATTAATAAAGTAGTATACCATTTTAAAATATCTAAAATCATTTTTGGGGAAATAAACTTAGATTTCACTATCGCCATTGGTCGAAATAAACTGTAAATGAAAAATTTTATTTTTATAAAATTCATTTACATAAATTCCAAAAACGTTAAAAAAAATTTATTTTTTTTAAATAAAAATCTTTATGCTTTCTTCCCAATGTGTGGTACTAGGTGTACCATACTCCATCCTAAATCGTCTGCTTTAGAACGCGTCTGTAAGCCAATGACAGATTTCGTTTCATATGAAACCAGCTCTGTCATTGGCTTGCTTATTCAGCTGTTTGCCATCTAAATGCGTTCTATATTATTTATTTACTATAAACGTTTTCTATATTAGAGGGAAAATATTACTAGAAAATTTTCTTTCGGTATTATTTCTATAAAAATAGAAACTTTCTTTTGAATTCTGACGTAAAATTTCTATAGCTTCGAATGGATTTGTATTTTAATACGATTTTAATGTGCTGGAGCGATTCTATTTTCTGTAAGAACAAAGTTTTTTGAAGGTATATTCGAAAATTATATTATTAACAGATTATATTTTATCTATATTTATAGTATTAGATCTCTGCTGAATCAATTATAAATCTATTACAACAAAATCTAACAGAAATATACATATATACATATATATATATATATACATATATACATATATATATATAAATATAAATATAGTCATAACTATTAATATATAATAAAAACAATTATACAAGATGTTCATAAGTCTGGAATCATAACAGCTATGTTGATCTTTGTTTATTCTTTTGCAAAGCACTGAATAAGGAGGAACATGCTCAAGTTATTTTTGATTATCAGCCTGAAGTTGCCAAAGAGTTTAACAGGTATTTATACTTCCCACCAATCACACAAGGTATGAATACAGCCTATTAAACTTTTTAACAACTTTATGTCAACTGTAAGTTCCACTACCAAAACAACTTGAATTTATTTCTCCATATTTGGTACTGTGCTTTACCTGTAAAAGAATAAAAATCAACATAACTCCTGTGATTCGACTTATGGGATACCCTAATATATATATATATGTATATGTATATCTATATGCATAAAAAATATAAATATAAATAAAGGAAACATATTTTTATGTATTATGTTATTATTTTTATACACATGCAAAGCTCTAATTGTTTTTATGTTAAAATTACTCTTATTATTTTAAGAATTTCATGATACTTATTAATAATTGAATTTTTTTAGAGCTATGGATTATGAAAGTGTTGAAATTATGAGCAGGCAGCTGGGTCGCAGAATTGTAGCAGAGATAATTGAACGATGTAAACAACATAATGAAGATGTCACTGAAGAACTAGCATTTTTTATAGTAATTTATAAGATATTAGTTAAAAGTTTAAAATTGCCAATTACAAGTTTAAAATTTAAAAGTTTAAAGTTGCCAATTACGCTACCAGGACCTCTGGTCCGACCTCCTCTTCCAGTATAAATTTGTCTTATTGAATGTTGTCTTATAAATTATTAATATTATAACCGTTTCTAGCCTGATGATATTTGGCATTGATTGGTCTGTAGCTTTATAAAATTTTTCATTGATGCAAACAGTTTCTTTTTGATATAAAAATGTATAAAACAGAAAATAATATATAATTTAATTGATTACATAAACTCTTTATTATTATTATTATTGTAAACCACTGTCTTTACATGATTCATTTGAATTCTAATTTTAAAAATAAAACATATCAACTGTTAAAATCGACTTTATTTCAGTTTAATATAAATAACAATAATTCTTTACTTATTGGATTTTAGTTTATAAATTATTTATATGTGCATTTGATAATTTAATAAAACATTTGTAATTATATGAACTTGGTTATTATGGAACTTGGTAATTATGGAACTTGGAACCTACGCACTTGGAAAGTCAGGAAAAATCAGGGAAAGTCAGGAAAAATCAGGGAAAGTCAGGGATTTACATTAGTGTTCCGAAAAAGTCATGGAAAGTCAGGGAAAACAAAAACAACAAGGCAACCAAGGAAACAAATTCTTTCCTTGGTTGCCTTGTTGTTTTTGTTTGCTGACAGCATGACTGACCAAGTGTAACTGTCTGCAGGCAGCCAGAAGTATTGTGGTACAATGCAACTATGAAAAGGGAGTGCAGAATATTTTCAGGATCCCAAAATTTTTCCTAAAATTATAGCACACAAAATATACAAGCATACAAGAATATCAATTGTTATTTTTCAAATTTAAAATACTTTTAGATTTTAAAACTGCTGTATTAATTATGCAGTATTATAAGTTTGAGAGAAAAATCTAATACTCTTAATAATCTAATGTTGATAAAAAATTTTTGAAATATTTTAACTTTCTATCTCTTGCAATTTACACTTTCAATTTGAGGGAAGATGTTAATGAACTGATGAAAAAAAATAACAACAAACCAAAAATGATAACTTAATATTAATTTAAATGGTATTATTTATCATTTTTCATTTTAATAATATTGATCACATAACAAAACAATTTCTGATTTCTGAAACTTTTTCCCAGTTTATTAATATTTTATAAAGTTTGGAAAATTTATTAAAGAACAAATTTAATAAATTTATACTTTTCTACATGGATTATACTGAATTCTTTTAATAATAATTAACAGCTTTTTTCTTTTTTTCAAAGCTATGAAGTTTTATAGTTATGAGTTAATAACAGGATAAATTATTATTTAATAAAACATTTTAGTTTTTTGTAGAGAAGACATGCCATAATTCTGTCTTTCTTATTTTATTTTTGATTTTACTAATTCATCAATCATAAAAAATATATAACTGTTAATTAGAAAAAATAACCAGTTAAAACGTTGTAGAAGCACTAACATATGTGCATAGTAAGTTGAGTAATGTTTTATTTTGTTAATGTGCTATACTGTAAGGACGTGAGGGTCAGAATTTATACAAAGTTGGTCAGGGAATTTAAAACAAAAATTCAATTATGAATTTTTGTTTTAAATTCCCTGGGCCTTAAATGTTCATACAGGGTTAAAACAAAAATTCAAGTATGAATTTTTTGTTTTAACCCTGTATGAATTTAAAATTTTAAGATTTTGATTGTTAAAGATAATATAAAACTATTGTAATTAAATTTCTTAACAAAAGATGAAACAATAGATATGTTCAGATTTGTTTCAGAAATCTGTAACTTAAGAAAGGATTAACTAGCATTCTGTCATTACTCTGCTAAATTAATCAATGCATCTTTAATAGTGAAGTTTAAGGAAATTCACTGTTTTTGACTGTTTAAGGAACTAATGTTTTTAATCTGGTTTTTAGGCCATCTTTGGGCATGAACAGAGCTGTTAAGAGTGGAAACTGGAGATTTTTTCCCATGCCTGGAGAAAACTTAGGGGTTTGTAATGGTTCATCTCCCTATAAATTAATGTTAATGTTACTACGGAAAATAAATCTATAAGACTGCTTTTTTATTTATAAAAACATTCTACATATTTTATTTGTTAAAAATTTGCAAAAAAAGGACTTATTAAGAGCAAAAGAAGTCCCTAACCCTGGACTCTCTACAAGCTCTCAATAACCCTGGGCATGAACAGTTAAAAGTGATATGCCAGTGTCAATAAGAAGAGAAGATAGAATGATATAGCATTCTTTAATTAAACTTCATCCACTGTTAAAAGTACAGTACATTGATTAATTCACCAGAATAAATACTGTTGCTAGTTCATCCTTATTAATATGGAAGTTATATATTCTTTTTTCCAGATTATTAATTTATTGTATTGAAAATTTTGTAGATTCGAATTGTTTCAACTGATCCAGATTACACCAATTGCATAAGAAATGATATGTTACCAGAAGAAGAAGAAAATTTAATTAAAGTGAGTTTAAACATATTTTAAAATATACAAAATATAATAAATTTAAGAGCTTATCATACTTTGAGCTAATAACTTCTTTGAATTTTATGTAAAGACATAATTCTTCTTTATTCAACTACACATAGGTCAACTTTCTTTCTGGAGATTTTATTTAAAATACAAATGCATTTCAAGTAAGGTTTTTATTCAGTCCTTGCCCCTTTTCAGTATACAAAGACATACTTAGTTATCATTTATTTCTCAACAGCATAACTTTCCATACAAATGTCTATCATTTTGATGTTTTTCTAAAGATAGAAACACTAAAATAACAGATATTCAAAGAAAAAAATTTGAAAGTGATAAACACAATTATACACAAATATAGTGGAATCAACTTATTATGACCACTTTGGAACTTGCAATTTGCAACAATAACCAGTCGATAGCATTAAACAGAGAATAAAAAGTTATTATTATTTAACTTGATTTATTACAAACAATTACAGTATGAGTGTATACAATTTATATTTATCAAAAACTGTACACTTACTATAACATTACACATTTATATATGGTACATTTCTTATAAACTGTTTAACTCAACAGACTGCAAAATTATACTAGAGAAATCATAACAGTAATGTTTATCTGCAAAGGTACATGTCGAGTGAAGGTCTACAGTATATGTATTTTCTAAGAACTCTTTGTCATGCACTCACAGTATTTAAAAGATAAAAGGTATGCTTAAAAGTAAGTTTCAAAGAAAATGTTCATTTATTATGAATTTTTTAAGAATTCTTCATTTGTTCCCAGGTGTAATTTTCACAATTGATAACAATAAGCAAAGTTTGATTATAACAGGCAGATTGTTTTTAACTAATTTTACACAGAGTGTTTTGAAGTTGACTGATTACGATAACAATATCCAATTGATAACATTATCTATGATTTACAACAATAGTTCCCAATTAGTGGTACGCGAAATTGCATGAATAGGTACGTGCAGCAATCTAAAATCGGTTGATTCAAAATTTAAATGCATGAGATGAAGTAATCAAAAAAATAATGGGTAGACCATCAAAAATTCAGCAATTTACAACATGATGTCGAATGAACAAATTCGTTTATTTATAACTAAAAATATTCTCGAAATTTCATTTAAAAAAATGCATTTGTGACAATACCTAAATGAAATTCTTACACAAGAAACAAAAATTGTACAATTAACACTATCATCATATCAGCGAAGTGGCAATAAAATATTTACTACCATTTTGCACAACACACCTCTGCGAGAGCAGATTTTTGGCATGACAAACATGAAAACTATACATTGTCACTGACTTCAACTCGAAGATGACTCGAGACTGAAGCTGACCAAAAAGCAACCAGATTTTACAAAGTTATGCAAAGAAAATCGTGTACATTTGTCACATTAAAATTAAATAACCTTATGTTATTTTCATTATTATTAGAATTGTATTTTAAAAGTAATAAATGTTAAATGTAAAAAAAGTTATTCTATTTATCAATAGCTGTCTACCCACGCTTCGCTTGCATTATATCGAATATTCTCATGGGAGTAAGATAGGCTACAGTTTACTGCGAGAAAATATGTCCATCTCCAACATGTAAGCTATCTCTGTGCCAAATTTTATTAAAACCTGTTCAGCAGTTTAGACGTGAAAAGGTAACAGACTGACAGAATTACCTTCGAATTTATAATATTAGTATGGATTAATATGAATTTCTGCTATAAGGGGTACGCAAGTTTGAGCTTTTTCTTGAAGTAGTATGCAGGAAAAACTAATTGGGAACCACTGATTTACAATAACTGGATTCCACCATGTATACAATATCTAACAGTTTATTCCTCGTCCACAGCACTAGTGGTTATATCCACAGTGATACAAGGGTGAATGTGAATTTGAACATTCTAATTTGGACCTCCTAATATCAGTTCTAGTAACACTACTGCATACTTTAAGAGCCTTTGGATTAAGCAAGAATGTTTTTGACAATTATTGAGATAAGTTGGTAAAATTTTAAGTCTAAATAGTATACTTAGATGAGAGATGCAAGAGTATTTAAAAATGTTAGGTAAAATAAAACATATATATATTGTATTCCACTGTATTCACACTACAATACATCAAAAAAATTTAGATATTTTATTGAATAATTATTAGAAGAAATTAAAATATATAATTTATTGGTAACATTTTTACAAAATTTAAAATAAAATCTTTCTAAGTAGTAGTGTATGAATGTTTCTTCACCTTATGCCAATGTCCCTTCTCTCTTTTGCTACTAACAATAATGATCACAAAAAAAACTTCAGAATTACAGATCAAAAAATCTATTGCTTCTGTGTGGAGACAGATTTAAATTTTTTTCTTCTTCTTCTTCTTCATATATGAGAAAAGTGTGACAACTACAAGGATTCCAAAACAACAAAATTTTCTTTATATAACTTTAAGAAAAAAATTTTTGTGATTTAACAAATTAAAAAAAAAAACTTAAATAAGGCTCATTTACTACTAGTAATATTTTATTTTAATCTATACCAAGATGATGTTTTAGTGAAAAAAAAATCAATTTTGTTTTCATTTGCTTAAAATTTTTTAGGAAAAATTTATGGCTTTAGATTGTCTACTGTTGTTTCTTAAAAGATATTTTAGTTATAAAATATTTAGCTGTAGTTATAAGGGTCTCCAACATTTAAACTGCAGCTGCTCTTGCTTCATACAAATACATGGTAGCTATTAGTATCATGCATAATGCATAGCTTAGGAAGTTGATTCATAGACTAAGAAACATGTTATTAATTGCAATGTTTTTACATTGGTGATTAAGTTATAATTAGCTTATTGACTTAATTAAAAAAGGCATTTGATAAAGTTAACCTTAATTTATTGTGGAGGAAATTAGATATTGTGGGACTCTCCGGATCCTGCATTATTTTGTTTAGGAATTTGTTTTCTACTACTAGTTATCAAATAAAAGGAGATACTGTTAATTCTACTTGCATAATATCTACTAGAACCACTAAGCCCTTTGTTGTTTAATCTGTTTATAAATGATCTTCAGAGAGAATTCATCATTCTGATCTTTTGGGTTTTTATTGTACCTAAATGTCACAGATGAGTTGCATTGTCTTCTATATGCAGATGATGTATTATTACTAGCACACTCAAAGTCATCTTTACAGAGGAAACTGATTTTATTATCTGATATTGGAAAATGATCTTTCTATTAATTTTCAGAAAACAAATGGATTGTATTTTGTAATGGAGGAAGATTTCACAAAACTGATAAAATTTTTATTAATAATGTTGTATAAATTGCATAATTTTTTCATTAATTCTTTGTACTATTTGTGTTATATGTATTGTTTAAGCACAATTAAGCAACCATTGTGTGGCTGCTTATTTATTCATTTTGTTTTATTTTCCCCTTTGTATGGAAGCTCTTGTATCAATAACAAATAAATAAATAAAAAATAAAATAATAAAAATATTTAAAAAATTAGCAAAACTGCCTTTATTATAGTATAGAAACATTAGAATTCTAATAAAATTTATTTTTTTTTCTTATACTTTTTAAGCAGCGATATAATAGATAAAATTTATTTTCATGTGAAGAAATTAAGCAAATTCCATAAATGTATTGATGATAAAATTTGTCATGGAAAATTTTAATGTTAACTATTAATTTTCAATATTGTAGCATTGCTGTGATTTGCTGTTATCTAAGAAAAATCCAAGTATTGATACGATGAAGATGCAAGTACATTATAAAATTATGTATAAAAATAGAGGTATGTTATATAAATACATAATTTGTATATTAATTTTGAATTGGGTAATTAATGTATTTTTTAATTTAGATGAATTTTTAACATCTCAATCAAAAGGAATCAAAAAGAAATCTAAATCATTCTTTTCGGATGTTTTAAAGGTTGCTTTATATACTGCAGTTGACTTTCGTGAATTAGAATATGCAATAGTATCATATTTTCTTGTAAAAAGTGGTATTGGATTACATTGTGATAGAAAATTAAAGCAAGAATTAATTGGTAAAAAAATTATTCACAATTTACTTTTATTGTCTAAATTACAACTTGAATATTTAATTATAATATTTTTACATTTATTTTAAAATTATTAGAAATCTTAAAGGGGATTTTACCACCAACAGAATTAAGAATATTTATCTCAATGGAAGAAGAAATGAAAAAAGAACAATTAGATCTCTTATCACAGGTTACAGTAGGAATTGGAATATATAATGGAAGATACAAAAATAGCATTCTTAAAATTGATAATGGTATAAGGATAAACCAGCCACTGTTAAAACTGAATTAATCAATTCATTTTTAACAGTGGACAGTTGTAAGTGGCCCATTAATCAAGGCATTTTTTAAACTTCACTCACTGTTAAAGATGCATTAATTAATTCAGTGCAATAATCGTATATTAATTAATAACTGAATTTTTTAGTATAAAAGTTATAATTTTAAATTTGTTTTTAGTTATCAATAACTTAAAAGAAACAATACCTGTGTTTTCAAACAAATTAACATCAGAACTTCAAAAAAGTAAAAAATTTTCTGAAAAGTTAACATGTATGTTATTTTAAATAATTTTTTTATGTTTTATTTTAATACTTAAAATATTTTAATGCTTTATTTTATAATAGATATAGATATAATATCTATTATATAAAATAACTTAATGTTAAATTTAGCTATACTGGAAGACTATACTCTGAAATCAAATAAGGAAAAATGGTCAACAAAAATGATTGAAATTTTAGATTTGCTGATTGAAGTGTTGATTAATATCCATCAATATGAAGTATATCTAACTACATTCTTGGTAATTGTTTAATAATTTCATAGAATTATTATCATAATTTTCATGCTGCATAATATTGCACCACTAAACTTAATTATATCAATAGTGAAATCTACAAAAGTTGAAATGACTTAAATAATTTATAATGAAATTTAACTTTCAATTATGATCGTCAGTAGTAAATATCATTAGAGGATTTCTGGATTAGAAAAAAAATTTATTTGATTAAATACATGCCTAATAGATTTCAATCTGTTAAGGTTTTATTCAATTAAAATATCTATTAATTAAACTATATTCAAAAAATAAGCATAACTATTAATTTGGCCTCTATCCTAGGAACAGCTACTCCAGATTAGCAAAAATCTTAACATAGAAGCAGAACATTGTATTTTTTATGCAACAAAACAGTTAAAAAACAAACTTTATCTTAATGCCATCCCAGACCATGATACCACCATCTGCAAACTGGTCTCTCTCTATGATGTTCATGAGACTTTATTCTCTATTCTCTCCAGATTCTAATCTGACAATAATCATTCTATAGTTCAACGGTGGGCAACCCCCGGCCCGCGGGCCAGCTACGGCCCGCGAAGAGTTTCTATCCGGCCCGCGAGATGTTTAGAAGAAATTATAAATAAATATTTTTCGATGTAATTCTTCTAGTTTAAATTGAATATTATTTTCTGAAGTGTTGCGGCAGCAATGACAGGAAAAAATAAGGGAGTTATTTCCTTATTCAAACAAAAAATGGGAGAACAGAATGTTTCTAAATTATTTATATCTCATCGCATCATCCATCAAGAAAATCTACGTGCAAAAGCTATGCAATTAGAAAATGTAATGTCTGTCGTATCCAACTACATAGTGCTGTTTTTATTGTGTTTAAAGTCACTTAGATTTTACAAATAGGTGAGCCGTTCACAGCCCGCACACGCATTTGTAAAATCTAAGTGACTCATACAACATGGAATTCATATAAAACGGAATAATCAACAGTGTTATAGTGGGATCGACTGTAGTAATTAATTTCTTTTTATTTATTTATTTATTTATTTCATATTTGCAGACTAAAAATTTACAGGTCACAAGGTGTCAATTAACTACTATGGCCTGCGGAAAAAACATAAAATTTATTCTGGCCCATGTTATAAAAAAGGTTGCCCACCCTTGCTATAGTTTATACCTGGACTGTTATCTATGTTTTGGATGATTGTTTACTTTATGGACTTGAGTGTAATTATACAATTATAGGGACTGATTGATTACTGTTCTTCATGATTACTATATTTATATATATTTTTATATTTTTTCCAGAATTAATATATTAGATAACTATTCATGTGATGTAAAAAGCAAAGATATAATTAAATACATGAGAATTTATTAATAAATATAAAAATTAAATCTATATATTGTAGGCAATGAAATAACTTTTACATATGTTGAAAATTTACACATTAATAACACCAGATAGATAATTTTTTTAAACTTAATTTATTTTATTGCTGTATTTAAATTTGATTTTTATAAATAACATTTACAATAAAAATTTTTGAATAGCTTCATATTATTTAATGTAGCATCTAATATGAAAATTTAATTTTTTTAAAAAATATTTATGTAAATATAATCTTTTGCACATAGAAAGAAACTGATATAAGTAATAAAAAAACTCAAGAATTTTCTGAAGAGTTGGAAAATACCATGTTTCATCTTCATCAGATCATAACTGCAACTGCTGAGCCTATTCAACAATGTTTGGTATCTCTTAGCTCATTTATTGGTAGTAAGTAATTATCAGATTTGATTTATTAATAATATTTATTTTCAGCCATCATTTATTCTTTTATATAAGATTTGGTTAAATATGCAAGATGAAATAACATATTTAAATATATTATCCACACTTGCAAATAATATATTCAGATGTGTAGAGGTTTGTGAAAATTCAAATCATATTTTATTCTTAAATATTTCTAACTTTTATATAAATTCACATAAACTTTTAATTTTTAGAATTCTCACAAATTAGTGAATGATGAAAAATTAGAATATCTAATTGAAAATTTTGAAAAAGTGCACGAAGTAAAAACATTTCCACAAACTGAAGATATATCTGATTCAATTTCTGCATCTAAAAATACTGTCATTTATTTTCCTGTATCTATTAGCAACTTTTCAAAAATGCAGTTACAGTTTGGTGTAAGTAAAATTGATATTGGTGTTGGCATTGGCATTTTAAATATGAATAAGTAATAATTAATAAAGAATTAAAATATCTTTTCTTTAAAAATTACACTTAAAATTTCTTATTCAGTTTATTTCTAAACTTAAATTAATATACAAAATTGCAAAAAATTTGATTATTTTTATTTGAATTTGATAATTTATACAATTTTGCTTTATACTATATGGAGTGTCCATGAATTATATAACTCAGATATGGGTAGGTGAGTATGCAGGTAATTGTCACAATGTGTTATAAGGAGGTTAGAGTGTTTACAAAAACATTATGTAATGGAAAGGTCTCAATCAGCAAGTAACAATGATTCATCTTCATTTTTGAAGTATTGTATAGTAAACTGTATTGTTTATGCATTGTTTAAACAAAGTATATTACATTAATTAATAAAATGATGTAACATTTGGTACCTTGTGCCATTTTTATTCCTTATCACAAAGGGATCAATCAAGGATATGCATCATATAATTTAGATGGTTGGGTATGTCTGATGGCATTATGGAGCTTTATAGGGGGTGGGATGGTAGTTGAAAAGTATAAAAATAGCATTATGTAATTTATGGACAATCCCTATGTATAATAGTGGAAGAAAAAGTATGAAAATTACTATTTTCTTTTTATTGGATGTCTTGTTTCTTTATTGTTATAAGAATTAATTATTATATATAGTGATTTCTATGCTTCTTTCATTACCTATCACCAGGAAAAGTTTTAGTTTGTAGTAAATTATATATATCAGTGTATGTGTGTAATATAACATGCAATTAGTACACTATACATATTCAGGGCTGGTTTTGGTCTGTTAGCCATCTGCATGCTACATATGTTTGGCTGCACCTATCAAGTCTCATTGCAAGTAAATTCATAACATAACCTAACCCAACCATTCAGAGCCTACTGGTATGTTTTAGGATAGTTTTATATAGTTGATAGAGTTCACAAAAGTAAAGTCCACAAAAATATTTGATATATACTGTACTTATTTTAATTTTATTCAAATCAAACCACCCTGTAGAAAACAGGTGCCTTTGTTCAAAGTTATATTTTAGTACTGTCATAAAATAGAGTTTGCAAATTAAAATGAAATTAATTTAAAGAAATTTTTCTTATTTACTATATAAATACAATATATACATATGTGTATATAAAAATTAATTTAAATATAAATTAAATGTTTGTGCATATCTCCTTCTTTATTTAAATTTCCTTTAGGTTCTGTTAACAATTAAAACAATGCTGTACGTATTTCTATAAGATTAATGGTATGGGAATAAAGACCCATTTGCATGAAAAGTAAACATACACATCAAACTTTGTACCAATGTTATTTAATGCAACCATTCACAATCACTTATGTAAGTGTAACCTTAAACTTAATCATAAGATATTAGCATAAATAATAATATTTTTTATGTTAATATAAAATTATTATATTATTATTATTATTATATAAAAATATTATATATTAACATAAATAAATATCTTGGAGTTTGCAAACTTTAAAAGTTTATAAACTCCAAGTTTTTATGCTATATATGTAAATTTAAAGTAAGAAACAATTATAGTGGTTATGGAATTCCTATTGATGAATTTTTCTCTGGTTCAAAGAACAAATCCCCATCACCTGTTGCTTTCACTTTTAAGTTTTCTGATGAAAAACACGTAAGATGCAAGCTTTGTTAATATTTATATCCATAATCCATATTTATATTTATATCATCAGTTGTCATGCAAACATCAGTCTATTTCTTCAATGACCACTATATTAAAATAACATTAAATTATACTTGAATTTTATTATTTAAAATGCACTATCAGCCACCCTAGGAATTTGGCTACTTTCATGGTTGACTGCCCTGCACACCTACTAAAACTGGCCCTGTACATGTTGATTACATATTATAGATATTGTAATTATCTCTTATATAACTCTTGGCCAATTAGTTACAATAAAAATTTAAATCTAAAACTAGACAGGTTAAATTTCAGTTTTAATTTGGAAATTTTTAATTGAAAATTCAATGAATGACTAGCAACAATAGTCTTCAGCAATACATTAATTAATGCATCTTTAACAGTGGATGAAGTTTAGAGAATGCTAATATTTTTGGTGGCTAATGAAAGTGAAATGCCAGTAGCTTTTCACTTTCATTAGTGGCATTCCATATTTTTTTGGAGAAATTGAAGGACAAATCAGAAATTGTTTTATAATAAGAAAAAAAAAAAAGCAGATTGTTTTATTGACAAGACTGTCTCTCTCGTCTCTAAAATCACACTGCTGTCAACAGCTGCACACCTTAGAGGTATGAAGGAGTACATGCATGTCAGGAGTTGCAATTTGGCACAGAGTATGTGGTGCCCAAATCATGCACACACAAAATAAACCAGACTTGTAGGTCGTCAGGACCGAGAACTGGGTCAAAAGAAAATACGAAATGCTGAGACTGTTTCTACAAACAGACGCAAGTGAGAGATTTGCATGAGTTGCTCACGCTCTCCCAAACATAGTCTCGTCCCAAAAATGGCTTTGCCATTTTACTGTTTGTTTCACTAAAAATAAAAAGCTTTATAACATTTATTATAAAATATAAGCATATACATAACATTTTGTTCTTTAAACTTTACCCACTGTTAAAGGTGCATTGATTATTTCAGCTGAGTAACTATAATAACTGGTTCATCTTTATAATTTTATCTCTAATAATTATTCTTCAATAAACGATTTTTATAGTTCATCCTAAATAATTTCGTAAATTGTGTTTATCATGAAATTAATCACTAAGACATTACTAGTTTTTAAATTAATATAATTTTCGAAAAACTGAATTGTAGAAATATTTCATTCACAGTTTTTATAAGTTAATTGAATATTTAAAATGCAATTTTATGCATTTCATAACTCATTTAATAGTATACTTGCAAGAGAAATTAAAACTAATTTGTATGAACCAGCTTCAAGCTTATTTCTAGCTGTTTCTAATTTTTATGAATTGATTACAGGGCTATTGTCCGTGGGCAATTTGTTACAGAGATGGAGCTTTGTTACCAGCAAATAGAGAGTTAGGAGTCATTATGTTCAAAAATGAATATTATGGATTCTGCAATAGAGAAGGACGTAACGAGTTTTTGCATAATCCTGATTCAATGATAGCAGGTGTTGTAATGGTAGCCAAAAAACATCCATCTTTGATATTGTTTTTACATTTAAACAGTCGATTTATTCTTCCATTTTTAGTAAATATTCATTTTTATTTAAATATTTTTAACTTGAAATAGTAGGAATTTATTACATACAACATATTTCAGAATCATGAGTCAATTGAAAAAGAAAAACCAGTATTTACTTCAGAATGTGAAACTCAAACTGAAAGTAGTTTAATCAGAAAAGTTAAATCTCCAAAATATAAGTGGAATGAATGGGATTTCAGAAGAGAAGCTTTACAACTTGTATTATTTTATGACATGTCAATGTTTTATTATTATTATATTGTTTGTCATCAAAGTGAAAATAATATACAGATAGCAGACTAATTAACTGTTAAATGATAGTCCAGTACTTCTGCTGTATTGGTAAAGTGTACAGCTGTAAGAGTTATTATACCGGATAAAGCAGGTTTATTATCATTTATCAAATGTAGTTTCATTAATGTTAGTAATGTTGAACAACTTGTATAAGAATTTTTTCCAGTGCGGACCACCATATGGCGATAGAAGTAACAGATGGCTTCCGACGTGTATTGCTGATACGCTGTTGAATAAAAGGAACATTTACTGCATAACAATACTTTCCTTTTTATTTATATCACATTTTATTCATCACTAATATTTTAATAACTTTATTAATCAATACCCATATATTAAGGTTTCAAATAAAAATTAGAAATTCTAATTCTTCTTTCTTTTTTTTTTAAAATAATTCTTTCTTTACAAATAAAATGTAAAATATTTGTTAAAAATAAAATATATATATATATATATAANATAAGAAAATATTTGTATAAAAGTAATTAAAAGTTAGATTAATTAAATAACAGTAAAAATATAATTTTGAATATTTTAGAATTTATAAAAATAAAATCAAAATTTTATTTAATTTATTTACGTGATTATTATTATTTTTTAATTATTTTTCTAAGACGAAAATCTCTAAGTTAGTGAATTGTTTTCTATATCCGCAATTCTTACACGTGTAAATTGTTATATAAACTATGTTAGTAGCTTCCTTGCTCTAAATAAATTTAAAATATGTAGGCTATATATATATAAATTTAAAAATAAACATCGTTTTTGTAAACAGAGTTTATGACATTAAAGGTAGACATTATATAACTATCTTATACAGGAAAAAATCAAGATTAATTAAAGAAAGCTATTATCTTTTAAAAATTTTTATATTTCCTTTATGTAATTGAATTTTTTTAGTAATTTTGTTTCAAATTTCTTACTTACAATTTTTTTTTTGTTAAAATTAAAATTTTATTATCAAAAAATCATCTTACATTATTCAATTAATTTTTGAAAAATTTTCTGAAAATTCTAAAATTACAAGTTAAGAATAAGACACTGTTGCGGATAATATTCTTAAATTAAAAAAAAAGATAATAATAGAATATACTTTAATCTATGATAATATTTATAAGCAGAAAATTTTTTTTTCAAGAGGATAGGAGTAAAATATACAACTTTGCTGTTGTAGCATATCTTTATAATGTTTTATTTCACATTTAAAAATATTCTAATGACTTTTTCTCATGTTTAATTTGTGTAAATTAAGAATAACTTTTAAATTAAAAATATAATAAAAATAGAGACATACACAAATATATATATTATATTTAATGTCTATATATTTAATGAATATGAATAAACAATAAAAATAAAACAGGCAATTATATATTTTAATAATGCTGTTAAAATAAATGCTAAATAATTTTTTCTCTATTCAAATATGGGGCGTGAGAAAAAGTTTTATTTACAAAGAAAAAGTCAATAAAATGTATGATACTAACAAATATTTCTTACTTTAGAGTAAATGTCATCAAATTTAACTCATCTTTTCTTTTATTTTAAACCATTATATTGTTTAGAAACTAGAATTTTATAATATATATATATTAATAATTAAGAAGAGAACTGTTTAAGAAAAGATTTAAAAAAAAAAAATTAGAAAGGTATTCAAACAGTGCATACTAATTACACTTATCTGTCAAGAAACTAACTTATACTAAAGTTAATTATGCTAATTAGTAAAATTAGAAAACATTCAGTGAAAGGTTAATCACTCGAAAACTACGCTTTAAGTTGCCTGACTTTTATAACAAATCTGAAGGAAAGACAACTGCGGAATTCATTATTCGGTTTTTGTTAATGAATTAAAAAAAGAAAAGAAAAAATTGCACATACACACATACATAATATAAGCAACCGTTTAACATCAAGTACATTTACAAAATATAATTAGAAAGTGAGTTCGGTTTAACACAGTCGCAAACTACTTAAAGAATAATTGAAACTAATAACAATTAATCGAAAATGTAAGAAATTAAGTTTCCAATGCAGCCTAATGTTATCTTTAATTAAAAGTAAAGTACAGTACCTATTTATATATGTTAACGTGTTTAAGATATTTATTTATTTAGGTCTAAATATAATTATTGCATGGAAATTAATATTCAAATTAATCAATAATATTTGTTTGTTTATTTTAAAAATTATCACTAATGTAATATATGTCACCATCTATTAAAGAAACTAATTATTAATAAAATATTCAGAAAAATTAATATTTTTGTCTATAAATATATAAAATATATCGTATAATCCGTCAATTTATCATATAACGTATAGAAAATAATNTGAGTCAATTGAAAAAGAAAAACCAGTATTTACTTCAGAATGTGAAACTCAAACTGAAAGTAGTTTAATCAGAAAAGTTAAATCTCCAAAATATAAGTGGAATGAATGGGATTTCAGAAGAGAAGCTTTACAACTTGTATTATTTTATGACATGTCAATGTTTTATTATTATTATTAATTTTTATTTAATAAAAGTAAATGTTTTTCAGGCAAATCTGCAGAAAAAGCAGACCCATTCTACACAGAGTGAACAAAGTTATTTTTGCCGCGACAACTGTACCCAGACTTTTCCACCTAAGTAATGACTTAATTTATTGTTTTAGATGAATTGAATAGGCAGCTTAATTAATTGTTACACAACAACTATTTATACTTAAAAACTTTAATTCTATACTTTTTATATTTATAACAGGAAATAATATACAAGATCAGTATTAAAATACATGATAATTCTTTAATTATAATCAAATTAAACTTTAAAAAGTTATGATTATAACTATTCAGAATAGCTCTAATATTATTTCTTTTAATTAATTAATTAATTAATTAATTCTTTTACTTTATAGAGATAATTTCTGTCAGACTAAACGAGACAATTCAACAACAATGAGTAAATATTCTTTAAGTAACCATCTTCCTCTGTGAATATAAATAATAAACAAACAGATTATTCTCTTCAAATAAATTTCTATTGAAAATTGTCAAAATTTGTTAAACAATAAATAAAAATAAAAAGTCTTTTACAAATGATTCAGTTATTATTGAAATTATAATTAGGGTTTAAAATAGCAATTATTTAATCCACCTTAAAAAAGAAGGGGGTATTTACAATCAGTGGCTTTCTCAAAAATCATGAAAGCACTTTTCCAAACCTTATTTTGTTTAGTACTGGTTCTATGGCAAAAGCCAATAGCTTAACAGAAAACTTCAAACTTCTTCAAAGCAATGTTCACCAATTCTTGAAACCTGCTTACAAATGGGCTAGAGTTGTTTTGTGATTTTTTTTGAAGAATACTTTCCTCCATTTTTATAAGACTATGTCAACCAATAAAGTGGTCCAACGAAAACAAAATAAGGATTGTAACCATTTCATCAGAATGTGTGTTCACTGTTTATAGTGTGAGATCTTATATGACTGTTGTTGCATCCTAATATCAACACAAGATTGAGTAAATCTCGATGGAAAACAGAATTGACAAGTCAGAATGATGAGAGATAGAAAATTTGCCTCATTTGGATGCTTTTTGACACCAAGACAGTTCAACCTTGGAGGCACCAACCAACCTGTTTATTAAGGAGAGAAATCGGAGGCATAAAAAATTCTTTTTTGAGGTATTCACCGTTTAAAATATTAGTTCAAAACTTCAATCCTTTTTAGCTAACTAAGTCCCATAGTCAAAGCTCCTGCTGAAATATCACTGTAGACGTATATTCCTCATTATCTTACAGCCCCAGAGCAATATTTAAGAAGAATGATGTTGAGAATTAAGTCATATTGTATAGTGTGTTGGCAGTGGAGATGATTCAGGAATGATGGTGTTCAACTCAAAGGAGAAAAGTTCCAGATGGACAGTGAACAATATAGATGACCTCGGCTCATTTGTAAAGAACCAAGAGAGATGCAGATGGAATCTCTGTAAAAAACTTCATACAGAGCTATGTGCAAGAACTGAGAACAGCTCCCAAGAAGAACAAAGATGATGATAAAAGAAACATTTTGTGGAAAAATAACTTTGTGGAATGAACTTTGTGAAAAGTGTCGCAACAAGGAGCTGAATGAACAGGAACCTCGTGAGTATTTATCTGTTTGACCCTTTAATCACCTATCTTGATGGTCTTGATTCCTCATCAGGCTTTCTGATTGGTTCCACCTATTTCCATGACTAATTCAAGTCCAGCTCAGGATGCAGAAAAGATTGACCATTATGTGAAAGGAATTGATCATGTTCAACTTGATGCCAAATTCTGATACCAACCAGAGATGGTTGATCTTAGGACTTAATTTTTTTTTTTTTTTATCAGTTCCTGTCAAAATATTTTTGTTTAAAGTTACACTATATGTCTTTTCCAGGTTTTTTATAATTCAAAACTTTTTGGGGAGAACTTTTTCAAATTTTTATGAGAATTCAGACTCAGTCCAGACCCTCATAGCAGCTTACAGAAAACAACACTTAAAGTGAGAAAAGATTCCCATCATGAATACCCATAGTGAATTTATAAATATATTATAAATATTAAAAAAAAAAAAATAAATAATGAATTTATAATTTTATAAAGAAAAANATTACAATAACTAATTAATGTTTATTAAATTTTTACTTTTAACAGTTTTAGTATGATGCTGCCATCTGGAGAATAAAATTAGAAGTTTCAACAAATACATGTCCAAATTACAAAATGTTTCAATTAGTTAAAAGATAATTCGATTTAAAATTAAATATTCCATTTTAAACGTAAATGAAGGACTTTACGACTTTTATACAATGTTTTAATTGTGACACTTTACAGTTATGTTAAGAGAGTAAGTAGTTAAGCACTTAAACTACTAATAAAACTCCTATGTATATATGATATAGTAAGCTAAATTTTAAGATAAATAAAGTATTAATAATATATATATAATATTTTAAAGAACACAACACATAGAGTTATGAAATTTAAAAATTGGAAATTTGCAGATATTTTTCCTGAATTTGGCTCATTTTTTTAAATGAAATTCGGCCGAATGTAAATAAAAAAAATTAATATTTGTATAAGAATTTTTTCCAGTGCGGACCACCATATGGCGATAGATAATTAAATTTAATTGGAAAGTAATAGTATACATATTGACACATTATTAAATTAATAAACATTTTAAAGAAAAATAGGAAATAAATTAATATATTAAAATATATTATACCTATAGTTTTATTAATAATGGTAATTGATGCAAAGCTTAATAATTACTGGAAAAAATAAATTCTATTACATATATACATACAGACAGGCGAAGTATTTTTTAGTCTAACAAGTAAAGTTTTAAAAATGATTGTGATTTAAGGTTTTAATAAGGTACAAATGAAAGTCATTGAGATGTACTCACTGTTAATAGCATTTATAATGAAAACTGCTTGTTAAAAGTCTTTCAAAATCTTAAAAACGATATGAAGTTTAATGATTTAAACAAATTTTTCTAATTATTAAAACTAGAAATACTTTAAACAAAGAAATATTTTTGAAAGCGAAATCGGCGATGAACTTAATTGATTTTCATAATAAAGATGATTAAAGGTACAGACAGTACTGTACAGTACGTTGTATTATGTAACTTGAACTAATTCTTTGAATATATGAAAAGATCCTAAAGACAATTTTAATATTAAAATAATTTAGATATAATTCAGCTTTAATGATGCATTCAATATAGTTCTTTCAAGCTTAAAAAAGTATCTCGAATAAATTCAAAATTTCCACATCCGTAGATACTCTTATATAAATTCAAATAATTTCCAATAATGTTTATGGAATTTTTGTACAGAAAATTTATTTCTACTTGATTTTATAAAATAAAGCAATAAATAAAGCAAATCGAATGTATAATTGTTAAAACAATAATCGAATATTTTAACAATTGAAAAGCGATTGTACAGTTAAGAATTTAATTTTTTTTTTTTTTTTTAGCATTCTGATTGTATCATTATTTAGAAATTAAAGGGTAGAAAGTCATCTCCAAACACAATAAAAATTTGATATAAAAACAGAATTTCTAAATTAGATAAAAAAGAGGAAAAGGTAGAAAAGAATTTTGATATTTTCAGTTTGAGAACAAGTGAAATTTTAATCTAATCAAACACTTTTGAAAAAATGAAGACTGCAATATAACACATTTTTCTAAATTTATTTGAAAATAAAACAACGGAATATAATATAAAAACACAATCCAGAATGGAAATCATTTCTTCGAAATCAAATTAAAAGACGTTTAAAATAAGAAACTCGTTTTATAATCGCTAGATAAATATGAAGAGCAGAAAGAAGAGATAATATTTTCTTGATGAGAGACAGAATATATAATCAATAATTTGAATGAAATCAATGATATTAAATTCGCTAAAAACTTTTTGCCAGCTGTTTAAAAGCAATTTTGATTTTTATCATCATTATAAGAAATCGTACTTTCTTTCCGGATTAAATTTTAAAGGTACTTTTAATTTTATCTACATCCAAGTGCTTAGATCTTGGATAATAATCATGATTTAGAACCTATTAAAATACATTATTGTTTAGATTAGAAGATCAAAATTAAGCTTTTTACCTGTTTAATATTTTCGAATTAGTTTTAAAATATTCATATTTTTAATTTTTTAAAGTATGTTATATAATCGATTTATAAACATTCAATCGGATTCACACATTTTTAATTGAATGATACGCTAACTTCTCAATGTAAGAATGGGAAAATTAATTTTTTTTGTCAAAATATATATATTCTGCTTTAAAAAATTCAGTGTTTAATACTTTATTGAATGACAAATACTCATCTACATTGAACTGAATTAAGGATAAATATTAAATTATAATCGGTACGTCAGCTATAAATAATAATGCCGCATATGATATAGCAATGCTTCAATAATTTTAAATATTAATTTAGTTTTATTTAAGTAGCTTTTAACAGATAAAACAAATACAAAGAGAATACCGCTATGACGGCATTTTATCTGTAAAAGTTTCAGAAATATTAATTCCTGATGTTTCGTTTAATCCGTAGTTTTAAATGGCAACTTCTCTAGCTTATAAATTATGCAAGAAGGATACATTTATTGCATTAAATCAACTGAAGTATTTTCTAAGCGAAATAGTCAAGAGTTATAATAATTGTATGCAATAGCTAAAGACATTATTGAGCATATATATATACGATAAAAATAAAAATGAATTGAAATTAAAATTCTCTTACATTCCTAAGACGAAGTCTCTGAATATTTCTGTTGTCATAAATGAATTTTGTGTGAAGAAAGTATTAAATTGTTTGGACAATATTATAGAATTGAAATTAATGTGAGCAGTGCACGTGGAGTTTTTTGGGTTTTATCCACGTTTATAACACCTAGTTAGGGCCATATTCTCATAGAAAGTTCTCCCTTGGCAGATCGCCGTTGTGTTGCATTATCTCAGCTCATCAAACCAAATATTTTGTGAAATATTTTTTAAAATACCTGAAATGAAATTCAAATTTCTAAGTCATTTTAAAATACATAGAAATAATAAAATATCAATCTGTGATGCTGAAAGTTTAAATTTTATTCAGCAACATTCAAAGAATTATTTTAATTCTATTTATTTACTTAAATTTTATTTGAATTCAACGTACTGTACAAAGCGGTTAAGCATCATCCCACTGCTTTAGAGGAGGAAGGATCGAATCCTACGAATGAAAAATTCTAGGAAATTTTCGTGGATGGTCTGTCCCGAAAAAGTTAGGCCCCGTGTCTCACTACCCGGCTGTATCCCATTGTAGGCCTAGCCAAAACACAATGGCTTAAAACAAGACACTCTTAGTGTCAAAAGGGCTCTAATTTTGAGGGTAGGGATGGGCTTTATAAAAATGATATTATATATATTATTGTGAATGATAATAACGAGTAAAATCGTCATTAAGTCCGACTCTATTAGAGATACACACGACCCCACTATCTCCCCACCCCTTCGACCTTTGCTTACCAAAATTTAATAGTATCAATCCCCTAATAAATAAATCCCCTTGC